GATATGTAGTGCCCAAGACCAGCCCATGGGAAGTACACAGACACACGGAGCGATCATGTCACCTGGAGAGACTGGCACCCCATCGACCTCAACGACACCTAAATGCCTTGCTGCTATAGCTGGAAGCCTAAACATCTCGTCAAGTCCCTCTGGAATGGCAAGCCTGTAAAACGCACACTCTGTCCCCTGCCGCGAAAAAGGCGTCGCGCCCCACATTCTCGAACCCGGCAAAAGCCCCGGGAGTGGGGAGGCGCGTCCAAGGGGGTCAATAAAACTGGCATTCGCGGCACGGGTATCAAAAATCAGCCTGATGTCGCCCGACTTCTTGGCGACAAAAAATATTCCGACAGTGGCGCCACGACCGGCAGCCTTCCGATACCGCACCATCCCTCGCTGCCTAAGCTCAGAGACAAAGTCGCCATAGCCGAGAGGGTTGTTTTTTCAAAATCGGATCGGCGCAGGGGCGATTCGGGCAAAGTTCCGCGCGCAAAGAATCAGCGGCAGCAGGCGATCTTAGCATGTGATCGCGCCAGAGACCGAGCCACTTCGAGTCGGCCTGCGCCAGGCAATCGGACAGACAAGTCGGCGCGTTGCCACGCGCAGGCCAAGAGACTTTGCTCTTGACGCACGGCCGTTGGGTAGAGGATTCATCAGAGTAGAGACCTGACCCTGCAAAGAGCGCGTCGAGGGCTCCCTTGCGAAAAGTGGGATCGCCTGGCGGCGGCGGAACACTGAGATAAGCCGTCTCGATGTTGCGAAGTGCCGCGGCCTGGCCGGCGTTCCGCACATCCGACGACGGTGCGCTGAAGCCAAAAAGATGGTTGAGGCGCGACGTCCCGTCTGAGGCCCAATCTATCGCACGCCGGCAAGAGGCCAGCCTGCGGGTCGTGCCCCGAGACAGCGAAGCGCCACCAGACCGAGGAAGACTGTGACAGCTGGGCAGGGGCAAAGGAAAGATGTCTCTGTGCCTTCCCGGGCACTGCAAGCCTGCCTCTGTGCAGCTGATTTCGGCTCGTGCAGGGCCAGCCGGGGGCGCGGCTGGCGGGGGTGACATCACCCCTGCCCCGACTGCTCCCCCTTGGCCCCCTTCTTCGGGCGCGCGAGAGTGCGTTCCTCGCGCGCCTTGCGGCGCTCCTTCATGACGGCGTACTCATTGGACAGCTCTGACGCGATCCACTGAGAAAGTTCGGGCATGACACATAGATTGCCTCGCACCAGGTCCGTGCCCCGGGCAAGGTTATAATCGAGACGATCATCGCTGCTGCCGGCCACCTTATCGCGATAGCGTTCCTCGGCAACCTGCATCTCGCGGGCGGCGATCTCTGCAGCAGCAATATTTGGAACATTCACCTGATCATAGCACGCTGAAGTCTCGAGAAGCCTGCGGCCGCCTTCGTGCGAATCGACGCTTGGATCGCCGGGCTGCAGCCTACAATCAGCACGCCACCGATTATGCCTTCCTAGCGGGGTTCCCCCGTTGGACAAGATGAATCTACAAGCCCACAGCGTCGTCCTCGGACCCCTGATGGGCCAGTCTGGCCACGGATCCTCAGTGAAGAGAGAGACCGCATCCCTGAACTCCCGGAATCGGGAGCCCGTGGCGTCATACATGACAGGGTTGGTGCGAGCATCCGTTCCCCCTCCTGGCGGCGGCAGCGCGCCGGCTGCGGCGACCGCGAGAGGAGGAGCCGCACCTGCCGGCGTTCCACCCCCACCCCCAAGGCCTCCCGCCTCGGCGGCAGGAGCGGCTCCTCCAGGAGCCCCTCCTCCAGCTGCCGCGGCTGGAGGCGGGCCCAGCGCAGCAGCGAGACGCGCCAGGCCCCCTCCAGGAGCCGGCGCTGGCCCGGCCGCGGCGGCTCCACCCGCCGCGGCGGGCACTAACGCGGCGGGAAGCGCTGCTGCCGGCGCAGCTCCAGCGACGAGGGCCCCGGGACCCGGACCAGGGACACCATCGACCCCACCAGGGACCGCCCCCGGAGCAGCTCCCGCAGGAGCAGCGGCTGGAGGTCCGGCAGCCCCGCCCCCCCCCCGCGTCTGGCGGACCTCCCGCGGCGGCAGGAGGTCCACCCAGCAGAGGATGCACGTTGCCGGCAGGCGGGGCCAGGCCCACGCGACGATAACCAGCAGCACGAGCCGAGGTCAGCTGAGCGACCGTGGGGATCGCCCTGAACCGGTAGTACGCAGCATTCGGGCCAGCCTGAGGCACCACGCCGTTCGGACCAGCAATAGCACACCAATCGAGAACGTCAGCACCAATGATGAGGTCCTCCTCGTACTCGTCCAGATCGGGCGTCATGCTCGTCACGCCAACGAGATAGTTAGGGGGCGTGCCACAGCAAATACGGGCGTGCCACAACCCACGACCGCCGACGTTGTACCTCATGGCGAAGAACTCCCCCTCACAAAGCCCGAGGGGGTGGGCGACTGCGGCTGGCGCCGCCATTACTGATGAAGGGCTGGCAGCACCCGCTTGCGGATCAACGCCTGCTGACGGCGGGCAAGCTCGGCAATGTCCTCCTCCTCGGACTGTGCTGCGGCCTCAGGTGCTGGAACAGGTACGGAAACCACTGGCGCCGCCGGCGCCCGACGCTGGCAACCGAGGAGCCCGCCTCTCGCGAGCTGGTGTCCGGCGACCAAGCCAGTGAGGAAGGTGGCCAGTACCAAGCCCGTCTGCTCCACGGGATTCGCCCTCTCGTGGAAGACCTCCTTGCACTGCGTCGGCTCCACGGCCGGGCAGTCACAGTGCACCACAGGCTGGCACACGGGGCAGGGCGGCGGAGTCTGTGCCCAGAGCAGGAGGCTGTTCGATATCCCCCGAGCAAGCTCTGGGATCGCAACTCTGACAAACTGCATAGGCTGGGCCTGCTGGAGACTTGAGGATTACGGAACGATGTTCCTGCGGCCAGCTGCGACACTACTTGGCTTAAAGTGGTGAACACATCCATAGATATGAACAACCGATCGTGTCGCAACCAGGTTATCCCCACAAATCTGCACTCGCCCTCTTGCGACAACCATGCGATTTCCAACAACTCATCCAATGCGACCAAAAAGGCCTCTCGCGCGCATGTCGGAATCATTCAAACGCCCTTGCGCGCGTGCTAGGGGGGTGGGGGAGGGAGACGATCCCTGTCAAATAATGCCACGTGGGCCACTCACGAACGTCGGCCGCGCGCACATCAAAATCCTTCCAAAACCTTCATCACCGACGCCAAGATACCATCATCGTCATCGGCGTGATCAGCATCAGCGCCGTCATTGCCCAACCTTCCGACGTTTGTCGTCATGTTCACCAGCATCGCTACTATCATCATCGTGTCAGCCATTGTCGCTGTTGCCATCATACCACGCCCACCTGAGTCATTGACTTGCACCGAAGTGCCCGCGCGTCAGCGCGGCCTGTGGGACGTGCTGTGAACTCCACTGCGGTCAGCGCCACCGCGAAGCGTCAGTAAGGTCAGACTAGCTGGCCACGTTGCGCGCGAGCCTGCGCGCTTGCGCGGCCGTGGCGATGCGCCAGCCAGCGCCGAGCATTCATCGCAATTGCCGCCGCATGGGTTTTGCAACCCAAATTGCGGGTGGGTGGGCGGGGTGATCGCGCGAGCAATTGAATTGCCAACTTCAAGTTCGGCAGGGCGAATTGCACCACATTGATTGCACGTCTTAGCTCACACCACATGGATTGCACCACGCGTACCGGATCACGTACACTGCGCTTCATAAACTGGCCCACGTAGCTCACACCACGACGAGTGCAACACGTAGGTTGCTGAACAACGACTGCTGCGAATGTGTGTATACATATATATATATATATATGGATTGCACCACGTAGTTTGCACAACGTAGTATGATAGAACACACTGTCCACGCTGGCCAAAATATCCACTGTGTCTCGAATTGTCGGCATCCCGCACCCACACTCCAGGACGCCGTGGATATGTATGTGAATGTTGTCCGCAGTCCCTCCCAAGTTGGCGCCCACGATCCCCCAGCAGAACACCCCAGAACAACACGATGCAGAGCGATGCCTCCCTCTGCCCTGGTGGACCAATTTTCGCGCTTATGCCAGTCGATGCTGTGCGGTGCGAGGAACCCAGAGGACCACCGGAGATGGTTTGTCTTTAGAATCTGGCAGGTTTACCGGCATGGAGGGGGGGAGGGGGCGTGGCGAGGCGAGGCCCGAAAACAATTCTGGACTTCACGTAAGTCGGGACACACCTGCACGCCTTTTCGGCCAAGCGTGAGGACCAGAAGGAGGCTCCTGCAGGGGGCGAGGCGGAGCAGGACGAGGCTTCTCCCTCTCCTCGTCCTCACCTACCTGCGATGCAATAACTACATGGATGCACTTCTCCTCCTCCTCCTCCTCCTCCTCCTCCTCCCCTTCTCCGCGACGTGATCCATCTTCTCCTCACCTCTGGTTGCGCACAGCACAGTGGCGAATGACGAATACAGACGGCGACCAGGAGATGTGGAGCAGCACGAACTGCGGTAAATGCTCGGAGACAGTTGCGTGGAGGAGAGGCTTAGAGTAGACGCCCCCTGCTGCTCCTCTAGGGGGAGGGTGGGGTTCACTTCGCTCGGGAGCTCCTGAGCGAAGTGAACCCCACCCTCCCGCTCAGAAATCGTGGGGGGTAGGGGTAGGGTTCGTATGTGGCCCCCAATCCTCCTCCTCCGCCGATCCTTCTTGCTACTCCATCGTCCCGAAGTCACCCATATATCCAGCAATTGGGAGGGAGCAAGGGGAAGCTGACGAGGTCAACGACGAGCAGGGGCAGGGCAAGGCAGGAGGGGAGGGTGAAGGAGGAGGAAAAGGGAGGACGGGAAAGGGAGAGGGGGAACAAGAGAAGAAGAATGGGGGAAGGGGGGCGAAAAAAAACAGATGATATGGGAGGAGGAGAAGCTGGCAAGGGTGTGGGGGGGGAGAGGGGGGAGGAGAACGGAGAATGGAAAAGGACGCGCCCACCCCCTGGGCCCCCCCCTTCGAGGGCCCCTGCGGCCTCGCAATACTTCTTCTTCTGGTCGTCGCCCGCCTCGGAGGCAGGCACAAGCGAAGCGGGGAAGCGGGTCTGACACGGGGGAGACGGGTCCCGAGAGAAACGGGTCCTGGATCCCCGGGCCTTCCCCCAGGACGAATTCTTCATCCTGAGTTCTTTTCTGACAATCATGGGGCCCGTGGAGGGACACGAGAGCCCAAAAACAGCGAAAAACCTGAGAACTACATCTCCTCAAGACCCGTTTCCCCCATGGCGAAAGGGGGGGGGCAGACAGAGGCACGGACGCCGGCAACGTCCCGTGGACGGGCCCTATCGACGATCGATCAATCGCAGGAGCTCGGCGGAGGCGCCCGAACGCCCAGCATTGCCAGCACTCGGTGTTCAGGGGGGGGGGCGTCGGAGAGGGGGGGAACCTAGGTCACATGACCTCGCGCGATGCCCGACGCGCGACTGTCTTCGCGCCCGCACGCTATCGTGCCACCACCCAAGGGCAGCCGCTCTGGCCCAGACCGCGACGCGCAGTGCGCGACTACCCTCGTGCCCCCGCGGGAGACCTGGCGAACGGCTAGCCGCGCACGACACGGGCAGCGCCCGCACTCCCCCGATGGCGTGCGGGGCGAGCCGAGCCCAGCGTCGTGAGCGACGGCCCGCGACTTCCTGCCCGCTGCTCGAGGCTTCGCGGCGCCGAGCCGCTGGCCAGGAGCTCGATGAAGGACTGCGGCCGGGCGATGCAATACGGCCCCCTCCCCCCTGGGGCAGGTGCGCGCTGCGATGGCGTCGGCGCCGGCTCCTCTGACACCGCGCGGGTCGCTCCGCCCTGACCGGTGTCCCTCAGCACCGGCCGCGCTGGGGCACCTGGCAAAGCTCGAACTTGAGCGCCCGCGCTGGCTCGCCACCGCGTGGACGCGGCACGAGCATAATTACTCTGCGTAGACCTGCAGAAGGAAGAGGATCGAGGTGTTCGGACGCCTGTGACATCTCGTCAGGAGGCTTCGCGTAGCCACGGCTGGATCCCCCTTCAAGATTCTAATCATAAGGCGCACCAAGACAGGTCCTGAAGTCGAATTTCATCCATGAAAGCTCCCCGAATGGGGCTGAAGTAGACTGGATCGGAGGGTCGCATCTCATCACCGATGCATCAGCGACGGAAGGATAGAGGAGATCGCGATCCTCCGACGCCGTCTACTTCGGAACCACGTGGGACGCTTGGAATCCAGGATTCCAAGCCTCGAGACATCGCGACAATAATCATCACGACGGGCGTTTCTGTCCAACGTCTGGGGCGCCAACAGGCCAACAGCAAAACCCAGGGCGAGAAATGGGCGTCGCTTAGCCAATAGGGGGCGATACACAGAGGGGAGACAAGTGCACTTCTCGGGCCCCGGAGGCCCCCTTTAGGGACCCTCAAAGGCAAAGTTCTTCTGCAGCCCACGCCGTCCCTCCCACTGATCGTCCCCGAGATGCGGGGCGTCGAGAGATGCTGACTACCTACCAGACCACCCCAACCCAACCCGAAGACCCGAATTTCGGGTTGGGGGGGGTACGGGTTCCATATGTATTTTTTCAATGTTCCCCGACCCCCCCCCACTGGAAATGGAGGGCAAATCGGGGCCTTCAGGTTGGGTTGGGGTGGGTTGGTGGGTGGTGAGATGCTGAGCGCCCAGCGAGAACGCAGGACGTCGGACGCGTGGGTCCATGGCCCCCGCCCCCCCCCCCCCCCGTCAGGTCGGACGACAGCGCCCGATACCGCAGGGGGGTCACCGCATCAGCTCAGCTCACGCAGCTGGCTCTCCGTGCTCCTGGCGCCTCCCAGTCGCAAGGAGGAGGCGGAGGAGGAGGAGGAGGAGGAGGAGGAGGAGGAGGAGTAGGAGGAGGAGGAAGAGGAGGAGGAGGAGGAGGAGTGTCATGTTTCCGAGCTTGTTCGGGCAGTGCAGACCCGGTCGGGCTTTGCAGGACCCTGCACAATCCAACAGGATCCTGCAGCATCCTGCAGGCTGGCCCGTATCAGTGCACCCCTGGCTCTGCAGGATCCTGCAAGATCTGGCGCTCTGGCTGAACCCCGGTTGCATTGAACCCCCTCTCAAGGCTCCCCACAATGAATCGACGAAAGTCCCCCGCGGAGGGACCGAAAAGCCAACTGCATGGCGCAGATTTCGCACCCACTTTCGTCCGACCCGCTCCTTGCTGCCCTCGTCCAGCGTCCACGGCGACGGCAAAACCGAAAACAACTGGGGCCGACAGCGAAACCGAAACCAACCCTGGACCGACGATCCGATAGAGGGCAGCCTGGAAGGACGCACCGGCGCAGCAGCCGACCTGCCCGAACCGACCGAAGACAACCAAGTGCGAAGCAGCCAAACAGACCGAGCCGCTGCCATTCTTGCCTGCCTCCCCTCCTCCTCCTCCTCCCTCTTGTACCCCCCTGCCCCCCCCCTCCCCCCCCCGCATGTCCCCCTAATTCCCCCGACCTCTCTCCTTCTGAAGGGCGCCTAACATCGCGCTTCACGCTGCGCGTAAAGCGAATAACTTCGCGCTCTGGGACCGCCCCCCGCAGGGGGAGGAGGAGGGGGGAGGGGGAGGGGGAGCAGGGGGAGGAGGGGGAGGAGGAGGAGGGGGAGGAGGGGGAGGAGGAGGGGGAGACGGGAGGGGGGGAGATGAGGAGAGGAGGAGGAGGAGGAGGAGGAGGAGAGGAGGAGGAGGAAAAGGACGAGGAGGAGGAGGTGGAGGAGGAGGAGGAGGGGGAGGAGGAAAGAGCAGGAGGAGGAGGAGGGGAGAGGGAGGAGGAAAAGGAGGAAAAGGAGCAGGAGGAGGAGGAGGAGGAAAAGGAGGAGGAGGAGGTGGAGGAGGAGGAGGAGGAGGGGGACGAGGAAAGAGCAGGAGGAGGAGGAGGAGGGGGATGGGGAGGAGGAAAAGGAGGAAGAGGAGCAGGAGGAGGGGGAGGAGGAGAAGGACAAGGACGAGGAGGAGAAAAAGGAGGAGGAGGAGGAGGAGGAGAAGCGTGAAGGAGAGGGAGGGGGAAGAGGAGGAGGAGGAGGAAAAATAAGGTTTGGAATTTCGAACAAGGTCCTGCTCGGAATGAGAAAATTTGAAAAGTTTGAAAGAATGAGAAAAAGATGAATTTTCAAACCGGATGTCCTTGATTGAAACATTGAAATTGGAAAATATGTCATTGATTCAACCAGTCAATCCAGGACACCCGGTTTGAAACATACATATTTTAATCAGTCAACGGCCCATTCAACTTTTCAACTCGGAAATCTCGGCTCAAAAATTTTTCAATGTTTAAATCTTCTAATCCGGGACGCCTGGTTTGAAACATCTTTCAATCTTTCAACCTTTCCATCCCAAAACGTCTGCTTGAAAGGTCTTTCAATCTATCAACCTTTCAATCCGGTAGCCCCGGCTTGAAACATATGTCAGACTTTATCAATCTGGGACGCCCAGCTTGAAAAATCGTGCACTCTTTCAATCTTTCAAACTTTTCAATGGAAACAAGCTCATGACGCAAATCGGCAGGGTTAAAATGTAACAGAGTAGGGATCTGCTACATGTTCGAACATTCGGTGGCGCACCTTGCGCAGATCGGCAGCATCAGAAGCCAAAAACCGCTGGGATTGCAACAGCTTCAAACTTCGGTCGCAACCTCACGCAGATCGGCGAGATCACTGTCAACAAACCCAAAGGCTTTGCCGGATTGGTGCAAACTCGGTGGCGCCCCTCATGCAACTAACCTGGGTCGGGGCCCGAAGACTCAAAGGATGTGCCTCCTTTTTCACATCGGTGCTGTTCCTCGCGCACATCAGCACGCAGCAGTCCGCAAACCCATCGGAATTGCAACAAGCTGAAAACTTACGTGGCAGATCGGCGATGTCAGGGTCCACAAACCCAAAGGATGTGCCACATTATTGAAATTCCAATGGCCTCCCGAACGCAAATCATCAGGATCGGGCCCAACACCTTACGCGATGTGTTATATTCCCCGACATCTGTGGCACTTCTCACTCAGATCGGCGAGGTCAGGGCCCAACCGCTCACTGGCGTTGCAACAGCTGCGATAACCAAGTGCCACTCTCTCGCGCAAATCGGTCCTGTCAAGGCCCGCGCGATCAAAAGATAAGCCACACTCTTCAAACCTCCGCGGCGCCCCTCAATAGCGCCCACCACGTAGATCGGAGAGTCTGGTTCAACAATCCCACGGAACTTCTTGCAAGTCCACAGCTCGGATGCACGCCTCGCGCAAATCGGAGGCCCCAACGCCCCGGCGCCCAAGGGATTTGCTACATTTTCCCAAATCGCTGGCACGCTTCTCGCAGATCGGCAACGTCGCGACCCTCGCGCCCAAAGACTTGCGACCCGTGCCAACCCCCTTCGCCTCGCATCGCAGTCCCGCTCTGTTTCAGAAGAGGGCCCAGGAATCCTTGCATGGCTCTTGCGCCGCCGCGGTTCATAATTGCGCGCAAGGCTACGACATTCGCAAACCTCGACTGGGGAACTCGCACCTCCTTCGCGCAGCTATCGAATCTGCTCCGCGTCCGCCGCCGCGCCCGCAGCTGCGGCGTCGCCTCCACCGGCCGCGGACTCACGGCCCCGCTGCGACCCTGTCGGCATGAAGCGCACCGGCGGCAGCGAAAGCCCGCCTCCAGCGCTTCCACGCCCGCCCGGGTCAGCGTCGACATTGCTCCCCCTGTTGTATACGGCAACTGGCTGCCAGTTCGCGGAAATCCACCGCGCCGCGTTCCCTCCGCCCGCCAGGCGCCAGACCTGACCCGCGCCCTCGATGATGCCATACTTGGTCGACATCTCGCCCAGAAGCGCGGCCGGCATGGTGCCGGGGCGGTACTGAGTGATACTCCTGCTGGACAAGGCGGCTTGCAGTGCTTCTGGGGTAGCTTCCTGCTGCGCATCGCGAGCTGCGCGCAGTTTCGCCATGGCCGCCTGCGCCCCCGTCTCTTCGGCAGCGCTCGGCGGCGCCGCGGCAGCCATTGCCTACGCTGGAGCTGGGAGCAGCGGCGGGCGAACGCGAGCGCCGTGAAGGC